CTTTCCCCTCTGTTTCTAAACATGAAGTGCATCATCTAAGGCAACTCTGAGAAAAAGTTTCAACAACAACAACAAAAATAAAAGTTGTTGGAATAAGATTATTTAACCTTTAAAAGTAGGAACCATATTAGTTCGGTTGTTTAAGTTCTAGTTTATTTGCTTAAAAATCAGCCTCTTTCCTTGAAATAGCGGAACCCCACCGTAGCGTACAGATAAATATTGCCCATGATCAGAGTTTGAAAAATACTATTATAATAAAAGTAATGACTTGCGGACAACACACTTTACATTTATAAAAGGTCTCTCAATAATCATACAATGTTGGATTTTTAAGGGACTGCTTGGTCCAAGTCTATTTCTCAGTTTGAAATTCTCTCTTCCACTCTTACTTTTTATTTTTTCTTTAAAAATTTTATTTTATATTCCAAATGACATGATGTAACTTTAGTCCATGCACATTTTGATCAATCATTTCAATCTGTAATATTCTCACTTGCTTACTGCATATTAAAATGTTGTAGAACTGGGGACGTAAATTCTAAATTGTATTTCCACTTACCCATGCTCTCCATATTCACAGGTTCTGCTTCTTCACTAACTAGAATATAATAAAATGATGTCAAATTTACATTTTTGAGTCAAATATGTATCTTAGTTTACTACAATCTTCTACCAAGGCTTGAATCATAAAACATAACGCAAATACACAGTGAAGACTTAAGCTATTTTATGAATAATTAAATAGAAACTGAATAATTGTCTTTCTTACAGAATTATCTCATAGTGATATATTTGGTATGACATTTATTATATGACATTTAATTGATATTGTAATGAAATGAATAAAAATAATAATAAATTCCCGTGTTTTGAATTCCACTTGTGTTTGACTTTATGACAGCAAAAACATTTATTTGAGACATAAAACCATGATCGTTTTGGCTGCATTATAATATATATACGAATACTAAATCCATAAAAATCCCATTGATGAAAAAACAGTCCTACCAGGTAACGTTATTTTGGTTTTGCCACGTCTTGAGCTCTTTTGTTTTTGACGTTTTGGAGCCATGGCTCTAACTTAGGCTGCATAAAGAGAGAATATCATTAGTAAATTCTGGTTTACAGTTCCAAATAGTAAGCATTATCATTTAGTAAACATAAGAATATGTTTTCTAAGTTTTGCCCTCAGCTGAATCAACATGTATCTTCACAGAATGGGTGTTCTGTGACCACAGGTTTATTGCAACAACAATCTTCCTAATGAGATCTTGCCATTCCAGCAGAGCCATTCAACTGAAGCACAAGGTGACCTGCCAACACTTCAAGGTTTCCGCCACAGGCCCTGCCATGGAACCACAAGAGAGGACACTGGATCCCCTGCCTCTTGCTCCTGTTTCCATTCCAGGGAGCTGTTTTGCACTGTCCTGTGCCCAGCTCCCTGGCGGGTGCCCCAGCTAAAAACACAGGCTTAAGGTCCATGGGCAGACACAGACTCACCATGTGCACATACATACATTATTTTTAAATAACATAATTTAAATAGTACTTTTGTCCTAGCATATGTACCTGTAACCACTGTGTCCTAATTTGCACTGTCAGAGAATACCTCCAAAGGTTTGCTATGGAATTACTCATCAATTCTGACAGGACATAGTATGGCCAAGATCACTGCCATGACACTAAATCCTTGTCATCTCCTCAATGATCACCTGTGTCCCATCTTGTTAAATGATTAGGAGTGTGATTTCAGGAGTCTGACCAGCAGGGTTTAAAAACAGACTCTACTTTTTTTTAATATACTTTTTTTTTTATTGGGGTATGGTTGTTTTACAATGTTGTGTTAGTTTCTGTTGTACAATGAAGTGAATCAACTATATGTATACATATATCCCCATATCCGCTCCCTTTTGGACCTCCCTCCCATGCCCCACCCCCCAACCCACCCACCTAGGTCACCACAGAGCACCAAGCTGATCTCCCTGTGCTATACAGCAGGTTCCCACTAGCTATGTATTTTACACATGGTAGTGTAAATGTCAATCCTAATTTCTCAATTCATCCCCTCCCCATCCTCTCTTGTCCACACATTCATTTTCTATGTCTGCATCTCCATTCTTGCTCTGCAAATTGGTTCATCTGTATCGTTTTTCTAGATTCCACATATATGTGTTAATATATTTGTTTTCTCTTTCTGACTTACTTCACTATGTATAACAGGCTCTATGCCCATCCACATCTCTACAAATGACCCAATTTCATTCCTTTTCATGGCTGAGTAATATTCCATTGTATATATGTACCACATCTTCTTTATCCATTCATCTGTCAATGGACATTTAGGTTGCTTCCATGTCCTGGCTATTGTAAATAGTGCTGCAATGAACACTGGGGTACATGTGTCTTTTTGAATTATGGTTTTCTCAGGGTATATGCCCAGTAGTGGGATTGCTGGGTCATATGGTAGTTCTATTTTTAGTTTTTTAAGGAAACTCTGTACTGTTCTCCACAGTGGAGAATTTACATTCCCACCAGCAGTGCAAGAGGGTTCCCTTTCTCCACATCCTCTCCAACATTTATTGTTTGTAGATTTTTTTGATATTGGCCATTCTAACCCGTGTGAGGTGATATCTCATTGTAGTTTTGATTTGCATTTCTCTAATCATTAGTGATGCTGAGCATCTTTTCATGTGCCTCTTGGCCGTCTGTATGTCTTCTTTGGAGAAGTGTTTATTTAGGTCTTCTGCCCATTTTTGATTGGCTTGTTTTTTTGATATTGATCTGCATGAGCTAAAAACAGACTCTACTTTTTTTTTTTTTTTTTTT